AATCAATCCGGGAAGTAACAAGGCTATGGACAAGAATGGCAGTGGCATGTGGGGGTGAGAAAAGGACGGAGACGATTAATGTTGCGCAATTGAAAATATGCAGACCGAGTAATATTATTAATGTGTGAATTGAAAGATAGAGTACTGTCGAGGTGTGCCACAAAACCAGACTTGGATGCAAAAAAAATCTGATTGACTGTTTTGGTCTCCAATCAGCTTGAAATGATGAAATGTAATATCCCAGAATCTATTTCGTCCAAAACTCAAACGAGGCAGTCAATCCAAGTCTGTGATTGGTTGGTTTTGTGGCACAAATATAACGGTGTAAGAGTTGAGCGCGCACGGGCAGAAATGTTGAGAGCGCAAGCAACACATTGCGAGCGAGCACAAATGCAAAAACTGAGCGAGAGGGGCTGCTAGTGTGTGTGTGTATGGATAATAGCAAACACTGAAATACATTTTTTTGCACGCAGCAATGAATTTTGTTCACTCAAATTCAGTTTTTCTTCATTCAAAATAAATTTCTCCTCAAAATGCAACACTTGTACCTGCAAACTTTTTTTTACGTGCGCTCAGAATAGTGGCACAAAAATAACGCCATACTATATAAGTACAGATGAACTCAACTGAATTGGATTGTTAGACTCTTGTTAAAGCTTAGAGCTTGTTAAACATGTTTTCTGGATTCGGGCACAGTTGATGTTGAGCTTAGTGAACTTCATTTCTATGCGAGGTAAATTCAGTAACTCACAAATTATAGAAAATTTCTTAAAATGTTCACATTGTCACTACATTGTGTTTTCTAGAACAGACCTTTAAATCTGCATTGATAGCACCTCGTTTCAGATAGCAGCCATAATTACCAAACAAAAAAAAAAAAGCTCTTTTTTTCTTTTAGAGAGGTTTGTTTCAGTTGTGTTCCAGAGTCGATTTCCTAATTTAAGTCAGTCTTCATTTTGATATGTTGTGTATTAAAGGTTGAAAACTTTAAGATTAGAATTATTCAATTCATTTTTTATACAGTGTCACATCACAGCAACAATAGCCTCATGGCACTTTATGTTGTAAGCTAAAAACCCTACAATAATACAGAGAAAATCCCAACAATCATCTGACCCCCTAGGAGCAAACGCTTGGTGTATGGTGTACATTTTAGGACATCGTCAGTTCTCAAGAAAAAAGTTGTCAGGTCTCAGACAAAAAATTGTCAGGTCTCAGTTCTCAAGAAAAAAGTTGTCAGGTATCAGACCACAAGGTACCAGAGAGAAAATCTTCCTGAAGGTGGCGCTGTTGTCGTGTCCCACCTGAATTGATTTCCAAATACGTCATCAACGTGTGACAGTGGGAGAGCGTAAGGTCATTGACCTCACCGGAGTTTTACCGTGGTTCAGGCTCCTAACGACACAAGGTAAGTTTAACTTTTTCTCCCTTTTGTTCATATTTTTGCCACAGTTGTGTTATATTAAGTTGCAGTTATGTTGTGAAAGTTACATATCAGAGATGGAAAGCTAGCTTTGTACGAAACCAAATCAGTACTATTTTTGTCTGGCTAATTCATTCTAGCTAGCGACAGTGGTGAAACGTGATTAAAATTTAAACTGTTCAGTAATTGTTTTGTATACATTTCAGCAAATGGACAAGCTGAAAGCTTACGAGCAGCCTGCATCCTTTCTGTTGCTCTTTTTCTTTATTTCTCTTTTCTATATTGCTACTGTCGGGATATTTTTTGATTCCGATATGTTTTTTTTCTGTTGTTGTTTTTAGACTTTGCTGCAATATGTCATCTGACGATGATGAAAGGAGTATCCGACTCTGGCTGGTTCCCATGACTGTACCAAAAATACTTTTTTTTATTAAAAAAAAAGAGCATTACAACTTATTTATTAACTACTGTTCACCTCTTTCATATCAAAGAAGTGTATTTTTTACTACACATATTTTATTTGTGGGCACTGAATAGACGATGCTTTTAGTGTAATTGCCACATAAAAAAGATTTAGTAATTTACTGGTTAATTACATATGTTCAGTGTAAGAGGTGGGTGATCAATTAGACTGTTGTTGTTACACTTAACCTTTCAAGATACGATGATAATAACATTGTTCAACAAAGGCTTAAAACAAAAGGAAATCAGTTGTGCACTGAATTCATATAGGCATAAAATAAGGTAAGTCTGCATTTCAACAGTTTCCGTGACAACTCTCTAAAATTACAAAACATGCAGTTTGCCTTTAATATAATGTAAATCTGTGTTGTCTTTTAACAGTGAGAGGCATCTGAGACGAGTTTTAAAACGAAATGCCCCCAACGACCTTTTACTGAAATCCACAAAGCTGTGGAGGTACACGTTAAAACATCAGTGCAAAAAATATATATTTTCCTGAAGTCTGTGTTATGAGCTATTGTAGAAACAATAAATGTTATTTTCTGTAGTTATTTAAAAAAAAAAAAAAAAAAAAAAAAAAAAAAAACACACATTCAATTGTCTGTTTGTTTGTTTTTTAGAGTGAGATGAAACAGTGGTCTCCTGAACAAGGAA